GAAGAACACGCCGCCCTGCGAGACGAGCTTGCCGGGGAAAGCATCGAACTTGGGCAGATTGTTCTTGGGCTTGCGGTAGCTCTCGGGCAGCATCTTGGCCACGGTCTGGAAGGTGCTGATGTCGCGCATGTTTTCCGCGGCGGTGATGAGCTGCTTGAGCAGGCCGTTGCGCTGCTCCTCGGTCATGTTCTTGCCGCCGCCGAAGGCGTCCGTGCAGACGGCGAGCATCTTCTGCTTGCCGGCGTCGTCCATCTTCTCCGCAATCTTGTTGCCCCAGGCCATCAGCACGGAGGCATAGGCTTCCTTGGAGATACCCGCGGCGAGGATGGTCTTGAAGAAGTCGGCCTTGTCATCGTTGCTCACCTGCTTCTGCCCGCTGTACACCATGTTCATCTGAGCCTCGGCAAGCTCCTCGATGCGCCAGCGGTCGATGCCCATCTCTTGGACCTTGCTCCAGAAGAGCGCGCAGGCCTGTTTGCGGGCGTTGACATCGGTCACGGCCTTGCCGAAACCTTCCAGCATATTCTGGCGCGCCCATTCCGCCGCCACTTCGGGGTAGACGGGCACCAGCTTGTCGCAGAGCGTCTTGTTGAGGGCCTGCCATGCGGCGGCATCCGTCGGCTTGGCGGACTTCAGCAGGGCAGCATGCTCACGCCATGCGGCGTAGTTGAGGGGCTGCGTGGTTTCAGCCTTGGTGTAGCATTCAATAGCCTTGTCAACCTCACCCTTGGCGGCATGGCTGCCCGCCATGGCGCGATAGGCATCGGAAGCCTCGGTCTTGGGAGCTTCCGCTGCGCTGCGAAGCTGTTCCGCAGCGTGCAGGGTGGAGTACACATGCACGCCCGTGTTGGGCTGCCAATGCAGACCGCGCTGCCAATCCAGCGAGTAAGCGGGGGTCCACTTGCCATTCACATACACCACGAAGGAGCAGTGGCCGGGCTCACCCGTGGTGAGGGCGGGCACGCCATTGGCCACGGCGGCGGCGGCACCGTAGTGCGACAGGCCGCCGCACACGCCGCCCACTTCGTAGGTCTTGTTGAAGTGGTGGTTGTACTGGTCCACAAAGGGCTCGTAGTAGTTGGATCCGTGGATGGAATCGCCGTAAATGTTGAGAAGGCGGTATTCACTCTGCCAGCAGGCGCCCGTGTAGCGGTCGTTCGGCAGGTGGATGTTGGCGAGGGCGTATTCCTGAGCCTCGGGGGAGCCGGAATCGTGGTTGCCCTTCCAGCCGCAAACCACGCGGCGCAGGTAAAAGGGCAGAGTGTACCAGTCAGCGTTCAGTCGGCCGTCATGGTTGTGCTTGATGTAGAACGCCGCGCGTTTGCATGCCCAATCGGTGTCCCAGCCGTAGCGGCCGAACTCCAGAGCAATGGCCGTGGCGGTGTCGCGGTCAAGCTGGTCGTACACAAACTCGGGGTCATCCTTGGCAATGCGGGCCAGAATGTTGATAACGCGGCCGGGCATCACATTTTCGCCCGTTTCGGTAATCTGCATCACCCAGTCGAGGTTGTTGCAGACCATCTCCAGCATCTTAGCACCCTCGGGCGTGGCGGCGACCTCGTCCAGCGTCAGCGGATTGGCGAGCTCGTCCTGCTGGGTCTTCACCGCCTTGGCGAGCTTGTCGTACTTGAGCTTGAGGGAGGCTTCCATCTGCGTGCCCGCGGCATGTTCCAGTGCCGTGGCCAGCTTCTCCATCTCCTTGGTCTTGTTTTCGATATCCTTCTGCTTGTCCTCCTTGAACTTGGTGTAGGCCGCGGCGGAATCGGCATCAGCACTTGTCAGCATCCACTGCGCTGCCAACAGGCGGTTCTGAGGCTCGGCGAGGAAGCTCTTCACGTCACCCGTATCGGCGTTCAGCATCTCCGTGCTCAGGCGGTCCTTCAGCGCGGCGGTATTCTGCCAATCGGCGGCCTTCAGGTTGTTGCCGATGTAGGAACCGGGAATCACGCCGTTATGCTGACGCTTGATTCTTTTCTTACCGCCTTTCTTCGCGCAGCAGTCCTGCAGACCGACCGCCTTGAGCGCGCTGTTCAAAGCTTTATCCACGCACGGCAACTGCCCCGGGTGGGTGTACGCCCATCCGCCGACACCACCCACGGCTGCCAGAAGCGCCACAGGAATCAGAATCGTTTTTTTCATAAAAGGAAGATGTTCGGAATCTTTGTCTATGCTAACATTACCACCCTGCCGCCGCAAGCAAAAAAGAAAGAGCTAAGGGCGGGGATACGACATTTTCCTTCTTGCACGCGCACAGGAAATACGCTTTACCGGAGACAAGCTATGAAAAAGGCCCTTGCCTTTATGCTGGATGCAAATGCACAGGCACCCGTTATCACGGATACGCCCCCCGTCTATCCGGGCAAGGGCGGGACCAAGCACACCTGTGTCTTCTCGGGCGACGTCAAGGAATGGACAGGCTCCGTCCGTTCCCTGATGAGCACGGGCTCTGAGCTTGACATCACCTTCTCGGGCAACAAGGTCGTCAACGCCGGGGTGCTCAGCCTGTTGGCGCTGGCGACTCTCGCCACCCGCCGCAAGCGAGCCTGAACAGCAGAGTCTTCCAAGAACACCGGCTTTTCCCCTGCCTGCCTCGTTTGCCTTGGCGGCCTGCGTGAATCTCAGCGGCAAGCCGGATAGCACGGGGAGGCGTGTAGCCGTCTATGCCCCCGACAAGGGCGTTGCCGCGCAAGACGGAAAGACGGCAAACGCGCTGTACCCGCGACGGTGCACCGGTGCGAAACCGCGCCTGAAAAGCGGGTTGTCCTGTTCCACGCGGGAGAGGACGGAGACACGGTTGCGGAGAACGACTTGGGGCGACCTGAGCGAAAGCGAAACGAACAACATGTCACATCGTACATTTCCTCATCAATTCTCCCGCAGCCATGCGAGAAAACGCTCCGCCCAGAGGCGGGAGATGCCGGGGATTTCGGCCAGCTCCTCGGGGGTGCGGGTGCGGATGTTCGGCACCGTCTTGAAGCGGGCGAGCAGGAGCTCCTTGCGGCGAGGAGTCATGGCGGAGTAGGCATCCAGCTTGCTTTCACGGACGCGCTTGCGGACAAGCAACTCGTTGTAATTGTTGGCGAAGCGGTGGGCTTCATCGCGCAGGCGTTGCAGCAGTTTGAGCGCGCCCGAATCACGGGGGAGCACCAGCGGCTCGCTCTCGCCGGGGAGGTACACCTCTTCATCGCGCTTGGCGAGACCGACCACGGGCATGTGCTCCATGCCGATTTCGCGCAGCACCTCCATAGCGACGGCGAGCTGCCCCTTGCCGCCGTCCACCACCACGAGGTGCGGCACGGTGATGGGGGCTTTTCCGACGGCACTCAGGCGGCGGAGCCACGCATAGGTGTCCTCCCCCTCAGGCTTGGCGAAGAGCGCACTGCTCTCGTTCACGATGCGGGAGTAGCGGCGGCGCACCACCTCCAGCATGGAGGCGAAATCGTTCTGCCCGTCCACGCCCTTGATGCGGTAGCGGCGGTAGGCGGCGTTGTCGGGGCGGCCGTTGGTGAAGCGCACCATGGAGGCCACGATGTGGTTGCTCGACAGGTTGGAAATATCGAAACACTCCATCACGGCGGGGGGCTCGGGCATGCCGAGGGCTTCCGCGAGCTCCGCGAGGTCGGCCTCGGGGTTCACGGTGCCCGGCAGGTCGGGCGTGCCGCGGGTAAAACGGCGGGTGGGGCTCCAGCGTTTTAAGGATATTCTCGCGGATGTCGCGCAGCTTTGCCGCCTTCTCGAACTCCAGGGCCTCGGCGGCGGCTTCCATCTCAGCGGTCAGGGCGTTGAGGTGCTCCCGCCGCCCCTGCCCCTCGAAGAGACCCAGTGCCGTCTCGAGTTGGCGCGGTATTCCTCCGCCGAGATGCGCCCGATGCAGGGGGCGGAGCAATGGCGAATCACGTCGTCGTGGCAATGGCGGTATTCCTCCTCCCCCGGGCAGCGGCAGGTGCAGGTGCGCAGGCGGAAGCGGTGGTTGAGCCACTCGATGGTCTCGCGCAGGGCGGCCGCATGCACAAAGGGGCCGATGTAGCGCGCGCCGTCCTCTTTTTTCAGGCGCACGAGAGAGAAGCGCGGCAGCTCCTCCTGCCGCGTGGCGCGCAGCAGCAGGTAGCGCTTGTCGTCCTTGAGCTGGATGTTGTAGTGCGGGCGATATTCCTTGATGAGCTTCTGCTCCAGAATGAGCGATTCCTGCTCGTTGCGCACCTCGTAAAAATCAAAATCCTCGATAGCGGCGATGAGGGCGCCGGGTCTTGCCGTTCTCCAGCGTGGCGCGGGAGGGAGAGAAATAGTTGGCCAAGCGGCGGTGCAAATCCTTCGCTTTGCCGACATAGATGATGCCGCCGCCCTCGCCCTTCATGAGATATACCCCGGGGCAATGCGGCGTCTCACGCCATTTGGCTTTGAGGTCGACCTTCGCCATGCAGCCCGAGTGTAGCACAACTTGCTTGCAACCTGCAAGGACATTAAGGAATTTGTGATTCATCATATGCGATTTTTGATTTGTGATTTGGAAATAGCGTCTCGCTCCGCTTGACGGAAAAGAGCCCCGTCTGACAAACTGTCAGACGGGGTTGTTAACCTGGCGGCGACAGCCGCACGAACATTCTAAATCAAAAATTTCAAATCGCATATTTCTTATCACAAATCGAGCACGCGTTCTTTGCGCTTCACAAGGCGCGTTTTTTGTGCTAAACTTCCCCCGCAGAGCTGTACCGCTCCGCTGTTTTTTCTTATGAGTGATGCATCCAAGTTCCGTAACCTCGCCATTATCGCCCACGTTGACCACGGCAAAACCACCCTTGTGGACCAGCTGCTGAAAGCGGGCGGCACCTACCGCGAAAATCAGGAGGTGCAGGAGCGCGCCATGGACTCCATGGATTTGGAGCGCGAAAAGGGCATCACCATCAAGGCGAAGAACACCTCCATTCACTGGAACGACTACACCATCAAACATCGTGGACACCCCCGGGCACGCCGACTTCGGCGCGGAGGTGGAGCGCGTGATGAAGATGGTGGACGGCGTGATTCTCGTCGTCGACGCCTACGAAGGCCCGCAGGCACAGACGCGCTTCGTGCTCCGCAAGGCACTGCAAGAGGGGCTGCTGCCCATCGTGGTCATCAACAAGATTGACCGCCCCCATGCCGACCCGCTGAAGGTGAAGGACCAGGTGCTGGAGCTGCTCATGGATTTGGATGCCACGGAGGAGCAGTTCGAGGCTCCCTTTGTGTACGGATCCGCCCGCGACGGCTATTTCATGAACAGCCCCGAGGGCGAGCCCCCCGTGGACTGCACCCCCCTGCTCCAACAGATTGTCAAGCACATCCCCGCGCCCGAGGATGCCGACCCCGACAAACCTTTCAAGATGCTCATCTCCAACATCGACTGGGATGACTACGTGGGGCGTGTGGCCGTGGGCCGCATCACGCACGGCCGCGTGCAGAAGGGCGACACGGTGTACCTGCTGCGCCCGACGGCTCCCGCGTGCAGGGCAAGGTGACGAAGATTTTTGAGTTCAGCGGCCTTCAGAACACGGAATCCGCCATCGGCGAGGCCGGCAACATCATCGGTCTTTCGGGCTTCGAGGACGTGGACATCGGCGAGACCATCGTGGGCGACCCCCGAGGGCGAAGCCCTGCCTTCGTGGACATCGAGCCCCCCACCGTGCAGATGGAGTTCAGCATCAACGACGGCCCGCTGGGCGGCAAGGACGGCAAGAACGTCACCAGCCGCGTCATCCGCGACCGCCTGATGCGCGAGATGCGCACGAACATCTCCATCAAGGTGGAGGACACCGATCTCGCGGGCGTGTTCTCCGTCTCCGCCCGCGGCACCATGCAGATTGCCATTCTCGTGGAGCAGATGCGCCGAGAGACTACGAGGTGCTTGTCTCCCGCCCCAAGGTCATCACCCAGACCATCGACGGCGTGGTGTGCGAACCCTTTGAGACGGTGTACATCGAGGTGCCCGATGAGTGCTCCAACGGTGCCGTCCGCATTCTCGGCAACCGCCGCGGCATTCTGGAGAACATGGAGGCAAACGGCACGGGGCGCACCTACATTCAGGCCACCATCCCCACGCGCGGCCTCATCGGCTTCGAGTTCGAGCTGGTGAACCTCACCAGCGGCCACGGCATCTTCTCCCACCTCTTCAAGGAGTACGCGCCCTATGCGGGTGAAATCGTCACGCGCCAGACGAGCACGCTCGTCTCCATGGAGAACGGCATCGCCAGCCCCTACTCCCTGCAATCCATGGAGGAGCGAGGCCCGCTCTTCATCGGGCCCGGCGATGAAGTGTACGAAGGCATGATTGTGGGCGAGAACCCCAAGGATATCGACATCCCCGTGAACCCCACGCGCGAGAAGCACCTCACCAACCACCGCTCCGCCAACAAGAACGTGTCGATTGCCCTCACGCCTCCCCGCGTCTTCTCGCTGGAGCGAGCCATCGAATACATTGAGCCCGATGAGCTGGTGGAAGCCACGCCGCACTTCATCCGCATGCGCAAGCGCATCCTGAACGCCACGGAACGCAAGCGCGCCGCCTATGCGGAACAGAACCTCAACGGGTGATGTACAAAGTACAATGTACAAAGTACAAATCAAGAATTTCGACGGCTGACGCCGCGAGGTAAGTAAAACGGTCTGACGAAATCGTCAGACCTGTTTTTATATCCTTGATTCAGGGCAATTCTACGACATATTGCGGAAGTAATACCCCAGCGCGAGCATCAGCAGGAGGAGGAGTATGCCTACCGCAGCTGAGCCGAGGGAGGTCTTTTTCTCGCCGTAGCGAATGACGGAAAGGCAGGAGAACACACAGGCGGCAAGATAGGCGGCACAGACGGCAAAGCACAAAGCATAGACAGGGAGCCAAGGGAATGGGATTGTCGAAAGTTCATCCCACTGCGGCACAAAAAAGAAGAGGGCAAAGAGTGCCTGTATCGGCAGAAAGCATAGGGTTGCCCCTACAGGGTGACCTCGCCGCACAGCCGCCTGTGTCCCCCCAACCGCACAGCAAGGCCAACAGCCCGAACGGGCAGAAGAGGAAAGTGATCAACAGAAGTCCCTCGATAACCTCCTTCATCGCCGACATATCCCTTATTCGGCAGGAGTTAAGCTGACGAGGGCGTTGAGACAGAGCTCCGCGGACCATTGACCGGGGGCGGTGGGGGTCTCACCGAGATAGCCGTAGACGAGCTTGCTGCCGTGCTGGGCGTAGAGGAGACGGCTCGCCGCGCCGAGCGGTCCCATGCCCATCACCGCCATGGGGCCGGTCGCCCCGCGCAGCAGGTCGATGCCGACCTGAATGTCCTCGTAGGAGTTGAGACGGAAGGCGAATTTGACGATGTCCGCGCCCATGGAGCGGGCAAAGGCCTCTTTCTCGCGCAGCTCGGCGAGCGTGGAGTCTTGAGGAAATCGTGGGCGGAGGCAATGAGCGTCACGCCGTCCTCCTTGGCAGCAAGGAGCAAATCCGTTGCCTCATGCATGCGGGCAATTTCCCAATCCAGCGCCGAGGCGATGGGCAGGAGGTAGGAGGCCAGCGTCTCGCGCTCCACCTCGCGCATGGGGCGCAGCCCGCCTTCGCTCTCGTGGCGCACCGTCACCAGCACCGGGCGCGCGCAATGAGTCTGAGAATAGACCCCGGCCCCGACCCCTGCGGGGAAGGCATCCACGCGCAGCTCCACCACATCGCAGGGCACTTTCACATCACCATCCAACGCGCGCCATGTTGCCACATCGGACACAGAGCCGACGACGTAAGGAGGAAAGGTTGCAGAGACGGGAAGACGGTGCTTACTCATACAAACCTTATACCACAGCAAAAGGCAGGAAGCAAGCCGACAGCGGGGGACATGTCACACGAGGCGCAGCGGCCGGCTCACTTCTTCTTTTTGTTGTTCTTCTTTTTTTCCGCAGCAGCCTTTTTCTTGGCGGCGGAAGCTTTCCCCTTGGTGGCGTAGTCGGGGTTACTGACGGTCAGGGTCTCCCACTGCATGACAAGGGAGCCGTGGCCGTTGCGGATAACATTACCCTCGTTGTCCACGATGATGGCATTCGGAATGCCGTTGGGCTGCGAGTAGCCCGGGGGCAACTGGCCGTTCAAAGAACGCGGATTAAGCACAGGGAAAGAGGCGTTGTAACGCTCGGCAAAGCCCTTGGCAGACTGCTGGTCACGGTCGCCGCTCAGCATGACGAGCTCCACGCGACCTTCCTCTCGCATCTTGGCATACTGCTCCACCACATGCGGCATCTCCGCATTGCAGGGGCCGCACCAGGAGGCGGAGGTAAGGTAGATGTAAAAGTCCGCATCAATCGCAGGTTTTTCACCCACCCACAGATTTTCCTCCGTCAGGGCATTCATATATTCACCCACGGCACCGGCAGCCTTGAGAGCCTTGGCGGGCTTTTTGTTTTTCTTGTCTTTCTTCTTGCCCTTTTCCGTCTTGGCGGACTTGGGCGTAGAATCGGCATAGGCGGCAGGCAAGGTTGCACAGCAGAAGGCCGCCAGCGCAGAGAGAGCGAAGAAAGTGTGCTTCATAACGCCCGACATGATAGAGAAAAGGCTCTTCTCTGTCAATCAGGAAGCAGAGGAAAAGAAGAAAAAGATGGTTTAAGAGGGAGGAGGGAAGTCTGACAAATGAGCAGTTTGTCGAACACCGCCACCGTCATTTTTCCCACAGGCGAGCCGCCAACGCGACCTTGGCCGCGGCCATCTGGGCCTTGTGCTTGCTGGCCCCCTCAGCAGAGCCCAGCTCCAGCCCCTGCCACAGCACGCGTGCGATAAAGGGGCCCACGTCCTCCTTGTCAGAGCTCACGGGGCGCACGTCGTATTTGGGGCCTTCGTTGTTGATGGCCTGCAGGGTTTCCAGCAGCAGGCCCTTGGTGTTCACGTCAATCATGCCCTCAGCCTTGGCGATACTCTCGCGCAACAGGGAAAGCGCTACCTTGCGGGCGGCGTTGTAGTTGGAATCCATCATCACCGCGCCGATAACGCTTTCAAAGGTGTTGGCCATCACGGAGAACTGCGTGCGGCCGCCATTCTTTTCAAAAGGCACACTCATGGCCAGATACTCACACCAACCGAGCTTCGCGCAGAGCTCCGAGAGATGCTGGCGGCTCACCACAGCGGAACGCATCTTGGTGAGCAAGCCTTCATCCGCCTTGGGGTAGAGCGAGAACATCTCGCGGCTCACCACCAGCTCCAACACAGCATCACCGAGATACTCCAGACGCTCATAGGCCAAGCGGGTGGAGGCCTTTTGGTCGAAGCTGGAATGCGTCAGTGCCTGCTCCAACCACGTCACGTCCGTGAAGACGTAACCGAGGCTCTTCTCCATGGCTTCCTTTGCTTCCGGCTCCATCGTCTTAAAAACCGTATTCGTTCAACAACGACACCGCCGTGCGCACACAGACGGGGCACGGCACCTTGCCCGCCGCCTTCAGCTCGCGGCAGGTCACGGCACCATTGCGGGCAAGGAAAGCAGCCTTCAACTCCTCGGCGCGCTCGGGGGCCACACAGGTGGCACCGTACAACGCACCGCACAGGCCGCCGGGGGCATTGCCGCGGGCACAGCCCTGCACGGGCTCCAGCAAATCATCACGGTCAAACGCATGGCACACGGTCTGCGCGCAGTTGTAGGGATTGCGGAAAACCGCCATCGCCTTCTCCAAAGATTCCTTCATGCCCCCGAGACTAGCAAAAATGCACGCTGAAAGCAAGCGAGAATACAGCAGGAAGGGGAAAAGCCCGGCTTCTCCCCTTCCCGGTTTACATGCGCGCCCGCTTGGCGGGAATGCGCAGCGGCACAAGCGGGGCCACCAACCCGTGCGACAAAGCCTCCGCAAACATGCGGGCGGCATCTGCGCTGTGAGAGGCGGCATCGTGCAGCGGCGTTTCGCGCAGAGCCCCGCCCGTGCCCGCAGGTGCGCTGCGGTACATCTCCAGACAGGTGAGTCCGCTCGGCTCCTTCTCCCCGCGCAGGTTGACGCGCTGCACCAGCGTGCGGCGGTGGAACCAGCTGCGGGAGAGCAGCACACGCAGCGCATTGATGCCGCGCCACACATCGGGCGTGCGAGGCACCACACGCACGCGGTTGATGCCCTCTTTGGCAAGGCTTTTCCACATAGGATTGCCCGTGCGGGTCGCGGTGGGCGGCATCGTGCGGCAGCAGGTGCGTAGAAATCGCGCCGTACTGCGACTCCCACTCATGCATCTTGGCGGCGTAGTGCTCCAGCGGGAGCTGGTTGGCGGCGTAGTGGTCCAGCCAGTACACCTTGCCGCCCACCTGCTGCACCAGCCAGATAGCCGTATGGTCAGAGAGGCCGAGGTCCCACGCCGTGTAGAGCGGCTCGTTCGGGAACACCTCGAACTCCGCGCCCACGCAGCCCTGCTCGCGCAGCAGCGCGATTTGGTGGCCGTAGATGGAGCCGTCGTCACCCGTGGAGAATGCCTCCTCGGGCGTCGTGGGGTATTCCTGCCGCATGGCGGAGCCCATGGTGCGCTCCATGCGGGCATACCAGAGCTTCTGAGCATGCGTGAGCTTCACCCCCTGCTCCGTCTCCAGCTTCTCGAAGTAGGCCGCCAGCGTATCGCTCCACCCGCCCGAACCCGCGAGAGCGTAGTCCGGGTGGTCTGCCCAGCTGAAAAAGAAGAAGCGAAAATCCAGCGGGGAGAGCTCCTCCTTCGCGGCGTTCTCCATGGCCTGCACCGTCAACTCGTAGTTCACGCCGTAGCGCCCGCCCTCGTGCGTGCTCTCCAGAATGATGACACCCTCCGCCGGCACGGTGTTGATGGCACCCGTGCGGATTTCCCGCGCGCGCCAAGGGGCATGCACCGACACATGCGCCAGCTCAGAGACGTGCAGCAGCTGGAGTGTACCGCCGCGCAACGTGGTGCCGAGGCGGATATCGCTGCCGTTGGCAAAGCCCAGCCGCGTGCGAGCATCGGTGACGGGGTGCCACTCCTGCTTTTTGAGGGCGCCGCTGCGCTGCTTGATGAGCCCGCCGAGATAGGCGAGTGCCTTCTCCCGCGCATCTGCCCCGGGCGGCACATAGTCAAGGTGCTCCCACGCAAAGCGCACCTTCTCCAGCTTCATCTCCGCATCGGGCAGCGTCTTGTCGATGATGCCTGCGTGAAATTCGGCGTGAAGAGGCAGCGGTCGAGCATGAGCATGGCCACATAGGTGGAGATGCCCAGCTGGCGCGCTTTGAGCACCGCGTTGCGGCTAGTACTCTGCGTTGATACCACTGCTT